AAGGCCTCCCAAAACTGATAAGTCTGCTATTTTGATTGATGCTGTCCGAATGGTGACCCAGTTACGAGGTGAAACCCAGAAATTGAAGGATTCAAAATCAAGTCTCCAGGAAAGGATTAAAGAGCTGAAGGTGAGACTGGTTTAAGGGTCTATTTTTGGGTGAATAGCCAAAATCCTTAGCATGCAATTTGCTATTTGGAACTACTGCCGTCTAAAAAATAATAAAACATAAAAATATTAAACTGCATTTCTTCTTTTTAGGCTGAAAAGAATGAGCTTCGTGACGAAAAGCAGAGGCTGAAGGCAGAGAAGGAAAAGTTGGAGCAGCAACTCAAAGCAATGAACGCACAACCTAACTTCATTCCGCCTGCACCACCGGCCATCCCTTATGCATTCACTGCCGCCCCAGGTCAAGCTCCTGGGAACAAGTTGGTTCCTTTCATTGGTTATCCTGGAGTTGCAATGTGGCAATTCATGCCGCCTGCAGCAGTCGATACCTCACAGGACCACGTGCTCCGTCCTCCGGTTGCCTAAGCTGGCAACCAACAATTGTTAGGGTTTGTATTTGACACAAACAAGGATATTAGTCATGTCATTGTTTTGGGCTGTTTTAGTTTCACTCAAGTTTCTCTAACTGGCTTTGTTGGGTGACTGTCTGTAATTGTACTCTTATGATTTAGTGCTGGTAATTCCATGTAAATTTCTAACAAGTTCATCTGGCAACCTTTGTTTTTCATTCTGTTCTAGGTTAAGGTTAGGTACCCGTCTCTACAAAATAACTTGTTTTGTGGTCAATTTTCATAATTAATTTTATACTGCTTCTGTTAACCGTATGAATACCAAATTTAATTGCATTTAATTATTTTGGTTTACAAAACCTCATTAGTATTTATTAATAACAATATTTTAATAAAGGAAATCAAGATAAATGAGGAATAGACAAAACATAAGGTTGTTACTATTTACATGATAAAACTTAGAAATGGGAAGTAATTAATATTTTCCACTTTCTTGTATTGCTGCAAAAAAATTATTAGTTTGGGGTGATTATAAGGTAGTATATGTTCGAAAGATTTTTAACCATTTGATAAAACTTCAAAGCAGACATGCACTCGAACCCGATATTTCTAGAGATAACAATTATTCCTTTAACTATTGAGGTCGCTTAGTTCATGTGAGAGAAGATGGGGTTTTGAGTGGGAACAATGTGCAGTTTTTGTTGAAGAAGATGGTGAATTGAAGCCGGTTTCAAGGTTCCAATTGCGACCGTCGAGGATGTCGAGAATGTGTTGTATAACTTGATGGCTATCAATTCACCTATTACCAAATCTGCCAAGGTCTTGAGAGATTTGGTCTCGAATGTTACTGGAAAGAAGCAAGTTTACTTCAAATTTTCCAAGCTTATCTGCTGAACATTTCCAATGCTGATAGTGATATATAAATATAATATTGTCAAAAGGACATATCAAGTAGTTGAAGTTGCCTTGTAGCTCAAAAAGGCAGCAATCTATTGTTATGCTAGTTGGTGTTTGATGGCTGAATCCTTTAACTTGATGTTTATATGTCACCAACCAGTACCTCATGGCCTATACCGACTAACCATGAATATTTGAACCCGAAACCGTTACTTACATCGGTATATTAGCAAGCTTTCAACCTGGGGTTCTTCATTAAGTATCAAGAATCAGAGATTTTGCATCTTTTATGGAAAGAAAAAAGAGAAATCATCATAAGGGAAGAACAGTCGAGGAAAAAAAACCCAGAAGGCCTTGAATTTGCAAAGAACTCTCTCCACTTATAGGTTCCTCGTATACAAACATTGTACATATGTTTAATCATCATTGCGGTCACTCACTGTCCTCCCAAAAAGTCCTTGTTAAGAAGCCCTAATATGACATCCCTTGATGAATTTATCCGAGAAATCAATGTACTTAGCCCACAACGGTCGGAGCTGAGGGAAGGCTATATCGAGCCAAGGCTTCGCTCTGCCGTTGAAATGGATGACCCCGGCCGTTTTGGCATCGGATAAAGTCGTGTTATCTTGGTATCCCAATCCCAACATGTGCCAAAATGGATCAATCACATGAACATGCCCATAGAATGCAATTAAACCAGGGGGTAATGTTCCCAGTTGCCACAAACTGAGGTCTGATTTGAAGTTCTGCAGAAAAAAAATTGATTTAATCAGCATATGGTAATCGAAGTATGTATGCATATATGTCTATGTGTGTGTATATGTTACCTCTTCAAGCCAGTGATAGTATGTAAGGCTAATATTTGTCTTCCTCCAAGCCTCAAGATCGAAAATGTTCATGCCATATGCCCATGCACATTCGTTTGGATCGAAATTCTGCATGATCAAAGGGTGGGAGAAGTTGAGATAGCTCTTGAACCGCTTCGACATTACAAATGAATCTTCACCCGTACATGTCTCCACTGCACCGTTAACTTTTCCGATCATATCGATGTCCCATAGAGGTGAAAGATCGGTTTGAATCACAATGTCGTCGTCTAGGAAGACTACCTTGTTAAGGCTCGGAAACAACTGCGAAATCGAGAAAAGTCATTACTGTTTGGACTATTTCTTCCCTTTCCATCTACTTAAACTAACAAAATATAGTCTTATGTATTACCTCGGGTAAATGTATCCGAATGTGATTCATCAAGGAGTTGTACTTCGGACTCAATGCTTGTAGTTTCGCGGCGATAACTTGAGGCTTCTCAGTATTATTTGCTATGATGACGGATGATCCCCCTCGGAACTGTGACCTTACTCTCTGATCTTTTTCCATTGCTTCCAAAACAGGTATCTTCCCTTTCGAAAGCCAATCGAATTGATGTAAAGCCTTAACCTCGATTATTGCAGGGTCTAAAGGATGCAATGAAAACCAGGCCTGCATAGGGGAGTAAGTTTTCCTATCGGTTATTATGTGCAGCACGAATTTTTCGGGGTGTAACGCATTTTTAACAAGCGATGTCGCCACAACCGAGGCTGCAAGCACATTATCTGAGGCAAGGACAAAGTGGAAGTAAGAGTTATCGACAAGGGCCGGGACGAGTTCCGCTGAAGGGAGTTGGATGCGAGCGGCTGCATTGTTCGAGTGTTCGTTGGCTAGCTTTAGTGCTAAGCAATGAAGCTCTTTTGGAATGCTGCTCGATGCTACGTGACGGTACAAATATTCTTGGATTTTGGCTGTTCTGGTTCTTTGTTCAAGCAGAATTATCTGGAAAAAAAAACCAATGTTTTAGCTCCAATGATCTCTTATATGGGGAAAAAAACAGAACAAATGAAGTTAATACCATTTCTCTGAGCTTTAAAGCAAAGGTTTTTGCATCTAATATGCTTTGTTTCATTTCAGACATAAACTCTTGTAATGTCTGAGGAACATCAGTCTTTCCCTGTACTTCATCTTTGCTTACAGGTTCATCTAGGATTTGGTACATCACCTCTGGGACCTATTTCAATTAAAAAACAAACACTTAATTCATATTCTTAATTATTACCTAATATTTGAAAAAAAAAAAAATGAAATAATTTGTTAAATAGTAGAATGAGTTTAGGAATTTACATTTGATTCAATCTTTCTTCCCAAGATCCTTGGTCCTAGTCTCTTTCCCAAGCAGCCTACCATAAATCCAAAAATAAAAATAAAAAAACCAGTAATTAATTGTGATTATTGGGAAATGAGCATGCATGATATATATATATATATATATATATATATATATATATATATATATATATATATATATGCATGTATGTAACTTTGTTTATTATCAACTAAGATTCCCTCTGAATCTCCCATTGATTTTTCTCTCTGACTATGGATATTCATCAAATCTTAATGACATTATCCTATATGATTTTTTTCCAGTGCATCTTATATCTGCAATATAGGAACTTGATTACATTTTCCATGAACACCAATGTTGCAGAAAACAATACCTATATGCATACATAGAGTTTGAATAAGAGAAAAGGTTACCAATGGAGGAACAGTTGGAATGATCGCCATCAATGCTATCAATGGTGGACAAAACAAAGACGAACCGGAGAAGGAAGGTGAAGAAGAGAAGTGAATAGAAAAGCATCCGATAAGAAACCCTCCTGGTACCCACTTTCACCTTGATGAATTCTCTTACACCTTTCCCAGGAAGCACCGTTACATGTCTCAAACTGGGTGAGATATAGAGCTGCATCTTTACTCTCTTGGTTTGTCTTATGAACCTCTAACAGTTCATTTGGGAAATGATATGAAGCTGATGAAGAAGATGAAAAGGCCAAGAAAAATGGTGCAAAAAAAGGGAAGGAATTTGAATTGTAGTTGTCAGTCACCTAACCTTGCTTAGCATAGAGGCTATACATATATACATACATACATATATATATATATGGGGAAGAAGGGGGTGTTGTTAAAGAGAAAAGGACATGGGACTTTGTTCTTGTTGAGTTTTGGAGGTTTTGTTTTGAAGTAGGGAAGTTGAGAGATCATCAGAAATGGAAACTTCATAAGAAAATAAAAATCTTTGTTTGGCGTTACTTAGCTTTGCCTCCACATGAAGCTTTATGTTATTTACATCCATAAATAAATCAAATTTAATAACAAAAATGAGATGAGATTGGAGCTTGACAACACATTACGGAATGGAAAATGACAGTCTCTTGCACCTGGAGTGGGTATTGAAGCAAAGGGACTTCGGTTGTTGGTATGAAAACTCAGCAACAACTACATTTTTTTTTTGCACATTTTCATTGGCCAAAATGTTCACTTTTTTGGTTTTTTTTCCTATTAATCACGATTTGAGTGCATTATATTTGGTTTAAATTTATATTTATGAAGTGGTTTCGGTAGATTCATTTGTTAGAGATTCTTTTTTTTTTTTTAAAGTTAAACAACAATTTATTTTTTATTTTTATATAAAGGTACCTTGCAAAACAATCATAAGAATCATGATATATTGACCATATTATATCAGATAATATATTTAGTTTGATGCTATAAAGTAATGCTATTATTTACATTAAATATCACAGCTAAATATTGGTCTCTTATTTACAAAGTTTAACATATGAGAAACCTCACAACATAATATCCACAGGTTCAGCTTTGCCTCTGTTTACATATTTCCAGCCCCATAGTATCAGAAGAATATATGCACCCCTGGAATTGGGAGAGATGTCGAATTCAATTCACGATAATAATAGGAAGAATCAATGCTTAGCCGAAGGAATTGCTGCTTCGTCTTGAACGACTTAATAAAGGGTTCAGATTACCTCTAACCATAATCTTCATTAGCTTCATCTTCGAAATGATTCTCCATCTCTTGAGGCTTTCGCTGTTATTATTTACAAACTTGAGTTGAGCTTTCCATTCTTAAGCTCTCTCTATTATAATTTCGAGATGCTATGACTGTTATTTACAAAAGCCTTCGGTTCCTATGGAGGCATATTAGGACCATTCAAACTGGTTCCTTCGCTGCTAGTGTGGAGTTCAGAGAGTGGAGCACCATTTTCAGTCACGGTGTCAAGAGAGCCAGAGCAGGTTCTATGTGAAAGCCTGCCATTTTCAGGCGGCCCGGACCTTTGATGCAGCAGGTGTCCATTGCTATTGCTATATACAGTTCGAATCCTGTAACCAGAGGATGAGAGTTGATGATGGATATAAATGTCAAACATAAGCCTGTTGTAATAGAAGCCATTTGATAATGGAGGGAGAAAAATGAGGGCTCAAATCCAAGAGCATAATACACCACATTTAAATTGACAAAACTACATTACTTAGATGTAAAATGTATTCTTTCAGAATGATACTATGAACCAAAATTAGAAGTATCTGAACTTTTTTGTGGTACAAGGAATAAAAGAATTGACAGACATCCTGGGAAACATTACACAATCATTTATGGATAGCATTCAGCATACCTTGCTTGCTGGAACTTAGGAGTTTGAACGTAGTCAAAAACCGGAACCAAGTTTTTCGACCGTGCTTCAATCATGTGGGTTGGAAAGTTTTCAATTTCTATTTCCCCGCCAAAAGCATTTTCTTCGGCCATTTTGATGCTATCCATCACCATTGATTGAAAGTACATCTGAAAGAAAATGAACAAGAAAGATAAATATCATTAAAAAAAACATGGTATTTCATATGCAGTTTTTGGACTAAGCTAGCCAGCAGCCCGGCACCTTTACAAATAGGCATATCTCCGCAAACAAACATCAAAGAAATTCTTAATCAAGAGTAATACCTGTGGTTTTCCCCACAGTGACACCCGAGTCTCATGCATCTGCAGTTCAGCTTCTGAAATATACAAATTATGTTTTTCCTGAGAGTTTGTATTTGCTTTGTTGACAGTACAGGAGGGGTTAGGGTATGTACTTCCATCTTTTGCTTCTTCAGGATATACTTTATTGTTATCTAATGTTCCATTCTCACCATATATATCAACATTATCATCCCGCTCCCTTCGTGTGTGTTTCTGACATATATTCCACTTCTGGATTGCCTCGACTACTAACCTTACATCAGAATCTGTAGTTGACTCATATGTTGTGTTCAATCCAGTAACAACAGGTGTCGAATCAAGCTCAGCTGATGGTCGTAAAGCATATTGTATCATACATCCGGAAGGAGAGAAAACCAAAAGGTGGTATTTTCCCTTTAAAGAGCTGCTCTCAGAAAGCAAAAAATTATTGCCTTTGCAGTTATGGAAAGAGCAAGCAATGGCCCCTGAAAGGGAACCCATCCTGCCAGTCGCAGCAGCCGCAGCACCACTTACAGTACCTCTCCAACCATTACTCCCGTTTCTTATTCTGCTAACAACAGAAAGTGTAACAGGGGGTCCAGATGCACAAAGACTTGAATTTGGCAGCCGTGGAACTTGTGGCTTAGTCATAACACCCAAACTGCCATTTTTATGGGCAAAATCAGCATCACCAGACTGAAGACATACAGATCCTCCCATTGGATTGATAGCAAATAGATGGATTGTCCCTCTTGAAGAACTAATCATGATCCTGTTGCTATCATCACTGAAACTAATATCCTGTATTACCTGAAATCTCAAAAGAACAGCAAAAGTCAAGGAAAAAACTCTGATTGCCAACAACAGATAAGAATTATACTTGGCATTGTCTTACAGCATTTGTAATACCACGCTGCAGCCGGTACAGATGAGTGTATGATGTTTGTGTATCACAAGCAGATGAGTTTCCAGGTCCAGGCATAATCTTGAATACATTGATATTATGACCCTGAACAGAAGCTGTCACAAGAAGCGTCCCACTAGGATCAAAGCATAATGCTGTAATAGGATTTCTGTGCGCCCTAAACTGAGTGATTACAACTTTACTGACAATATCTCTGACAATTACCTAATAAGCCCAGAGAAAAATATAGTGATAAGTAAAAAAAATGGTTTTGCAAGTAACCTTTTGGCAGATATAATTGGCACATAAGTAAGCACAACCTAAAACTCGTTCACGCTTAATTAAAGGATCTGCAAGCCGGAGACTAAAACATATACAGTACATATATAAAATATTGAACAGAAAAGTTCCAACAAGAATGTCACACAGGATTAGCAACTTGCAGATGTAAAATTAAAAAGAACTGAATAGGGGCGGGGTGAAAAATATTAGTTTCAGTTGCAAGAGTAATCAAACATGGGGAGACATATATGTACCATTCCGATGTTATCGACATCCACTAAATGGCCATTAACAGTTCCGTTGCCTTTCCATCCAGGACTTCCAGATTGCAGATAATTGTATGAATCAGGAAGGTATCTCGACAATTTCCTATATCCCATGTCTCCCAAGGTTACAATGCCAGCAGCAAGTTGCTTGCTTGATTCTTTTGCATAGTGTGCAACAAGGCTCCCATTTGAAGAAAAACCCGGGAAACTTGCAGAAGGTGTAAGATGTTGTGGACTGACACGTCCACAATCAGAGCCTACAACCGGACTTCCACTATAAGCGAGCCACCTAGGACCAACCGCTACAGGTCCGTAACCTATACCCCCAGAACCAGGGCAGCCTGAGACTATCGGATTCGTAAGAATGGTATATTCTCTCTCTAGTTTTGTGACATCAAAACAATGTATCTGTAAGATATAAAAATACGTTCTCAAACTGTGGCTAATCGTAACGGCCCCAAAAATGTATACATAAAGTGACATACCTGAGCTGCTTGAGCTACAGCAACAATTCGAGAACTGCACCTTACAGAATAAACAGCTGATCTGAACTTTAGCATATGTACATACGATTGAGATCTCAAGGAATAAAACAGGACAACGGTAGGCACAACAGTACCATTCCCAGCATCATGGTTGGGTGTGCTTCCATTACATCTACCCTGTATGTCATTGTCCCTGGAGAGGGAGCCATCGGCACAAACTACCAAAAGGGGACGGCTGTCTGCAAACTTGTCATCCAATCTCTTTGCTGCCTCCAGTTTCGGTAGCATTTGCATAAATGACACAGGATCTTCGCGCTTCGAAACCAAGTCGCGGACATTATCTGCTTCTTCAACATCCCAAACCTGGAAACCAGACCGATAACCAAGAAGAAGAACTTGTCGAATGACATCTCCCTCGCCTTCTAACTTGTCAAACCCAGCCCAATTAACCTTTACACCATAAAAAATAACAAGGGTAATGTAATATGAGTCGTATTGTCTTCTCCATCTTAAAAAAAAAAAACAAACAAATTGATATTACTTAAGAATCCAATTCTATAACAACACTCAGCGTACCTATTTAGCCATTCAACTCTGCAACAGATTCTGCACGGTAATTATTTGGGAAAAAAAGTCTCTTCTTTTATTTCTTACCTGATCATACTCAGAATCATCTTCCCTATCAACAATCGATGATGCCACGGTAACTGCCGACCGTGCCACGGTGGAAGCACCGGAAGAAACGATCCTTAAGTAGCTGGAAATGGCTCGGAACGAACTCCGAGCGGACCTAGAAACGACACTTCCAACTTGAGTTTTGGATTGCCCGTGTCCATCTCCACTATTCCTCATAACCCTCAACACCCAATTAAGGGAAACCCAAAATCAAAACTATCCACAAATTTCTCCTTTTAATAACCCCAATTCTATAATTAAAAAAAAGGGGAATGAGAAACTTAGAAGAAATTATGAAAACCCAGAAAGAAACAACATTTTAATTGAAGAAAAAAAATCAGGTTACAGATATTTCCATTTGAAAAACAAATAAAATAAAACCAACTTTTTTTTATAGAAAAAGTTAAGGAAAACTAAACAGAATAGAGACAGATTCTGAATCCAAGCAGGACAAAAACAAACCGCTTTGATCGTTGTTTCTCTGCAAAAAAAACAATTTTTATACTCTAAAAAATTGTACAAATTTGAATTCTCGGATATGAGAGGTCCTGACCGGAACAAAACGAGAATAATTTAAAAATTTTCACAAAAATAAAAGAATTTTTTTTCAGTTTTGAAACCGAATTTTTTCAAACAAAAAATTGGGAAATTAAGAACATGGGGAAAAGTAAAATTTTAGAGTGGTTTTTGAAAAAAGAATGGGGAAATCATCCAATGAAAGACTGGAATATGAGAGAGTTTTGAGAGAGAGAACAAGAGGTTGGATGCTTAAGAGATGAAGCTGTCTTTCTTTCTTCTTCTTTTTTCTTCTTCTATGCTTTGCTTTCGCTTTCGAATTATATAAACTTTTGAATAATGAGTTGGTATTCTGACGTTGAATTTTATATATATATTTTTTGGTATAATTACCTCTACTATAGATTGACTAATCCAACTCAGATATTACATAGACAATGTCGATATTTTCAACTTAATTTATTTCATTCGTAATTGTTAAGATTTGAGACTCTGATTTTATTTAAGGAATTTAGTGTCTCATCCCACTAAATCAACGATTGTTGATACATGTAATTTTATATTTGATAAACGGTTTTAATTAATATTTAAATAAACATTTTTAAAATATTATCATTGCATTTAATCATTTTGATAAACTATTTACTGGTAAATAAATTTATTTATTAAAATTTTAAAAACATCTCATTCATACCTATTATAAAATTCTTATCAGATTAATATATAAATTAATTAAGTCCATCTAAGAAATAATTAAACCATTATTCACTCAAATTAGATATACGACGTGGGTTATTCCGAATAGTTCAAACAAAATCTTAGAACCGGAAGAATAAATTTTACTAATTATATAGTAATTAATGACGTTATATAATTGTTTTTATAAAGTAGTTAAAAATTACAACTTTAATTTTTATAAAAAAGTTACAACTTTAAATTTAAATTCAACATATAGTACGAATTCGATTATCATAAATATCAGGAATATAAACATTTAATATCAAAATAATTAATAATTATCTTGAAACAAATATTATCTTATAATTACTCATATTAATAAAAAAATTAACATATATGACTTCACTTATATTTTTTTTCGTTGAACAAATTTTAAAAATTTGTTTTTATATATCAAATATATCTATTAACTTACGTCATAAAGGAAGTTTAGCATTATTATTTTTATAATATTTTTTCGTACTTATATTTTAGATTAACAACAACATTTTAATGTTTTTAAATATTAAAATAAACGTTCTTTATTTTAATATTTTCCCCCCTTTCTTTTTCGTAAAATTTGAAAATTTAGAAAAGTAAAATTCTTTGATGGCTCGAAGCACTTTTGCAAGTACGTGGAAGAATTTACTCGCTTTAGTAACCGTCCATCTATGGTACACGTGCTGCGTAAGGAAAGAAAGCGTAGGGGTTTGATGGGAAACGCGAGTCGATGAACAAAAGTGTCTTACACGGATGAAACTAGTTCCCTAATTACGGAATTGGTTTTCTCCGAATTCTCGTGTTTGTTTCACGTAATTCGTTTTTTGGAAAATATTTTTCCGTGTTTGTTTCACGTAATTCGTTTTTCGGAAAACGTTTTCCCGTGTTTGTTTCACGTAATTCGTTTTCCGGAATATAATTCATTTTCCTAATAACAGAATTTCCTTTGTGTTTTCTGTAAAATGACTTACAGATTCATTTTCCGTAAGTCATTTTCCGAACTTTTCACTTCAAAACAAAAATACTTAAAATAATTTTATTTTATGAATTTAATATTAATAAAATATTTTAATATCATTTTCATCAAAATATTAATTATTAAAATATTTAAAATATATTTATTAATATTTATAATAATATAATAATATATTTTTAATATTATATAAAATAATCAATTATATTATAATAATATAAGATATTATTTTTATTTTAATAATATATAATAAATTTTTTTATATATTTAATAATGAATAATATTATTTATATATTTCAATAATATTTTAGTAAAGATATTAAAATATACTATTACTTTAATATAGTACTATTACTTTAATAAATAATTAATATAATTTATAAAATTTTATTTCACTAAAATATACCGAAAAATGTTTAAATAACATATTCCAAACATTATAAAACGTTTTTCAGATGTTTTCCAGAAATGTAATTCATTTTCCAGAAATGTAATTCATTTTACAGAAATGTAATTCATTTTCCAGAATTCAAATTCCAGTAATTCATTTTTCAGTAATTCAAATTCCAGTAATTCAAATTCCAGTAATTCATTTTCTGAAAAACCAATTACAGCTAAACAAACATACCCTTATTTTTATATAGCTTTTCCCTTTATCTTATCACGAGTTCCTTGATCCCCAAGCATAAATATTTAAAATTTTGGGATTCTCAGTTACTTTTTTTTCTTTATCTTTAAACATGAAAAAAATAGTATTGGAATTATCAAATGCTAAAATAAATATAAATAAAAATAACATAAGGGGATGAATAATTGCAGTCATCCTTTAAAATTTTAAAATTTTCATATATTTTTATTCATGACATATTATTGTCCCCCAGAATTTCATACTATCGTTTACTTTTAAAATTTTATAAATTCACCTATTTGAAATGAAATTGTATTGTTTTGATTCCAATCAAATAGGGATGGGCATAAGTCAGGTTAGGTCGGGTTTTCAGTCAACTTGACCTGATATATAACTTTAAAAACCGGCCCGACCCAAAATAATAATAAAAATATTATTTTTATTCAATAAAAACATTGACTTAATTGAAAAAAATAATATATAGAACAGTATTATTGTAATTATTCCTAAATATATAATATAAAATTATATTTTTTTTCAGGACCACCCGACCTGACCCTGACCCGATATATAACTTAAAAACCCGAACCCAAAAGTTAAAAAAATCCGACCCAATCGAGTCTAGTCGGATCAGAACCCGCCGATTTCAGGTCCCATGCCCATCCCTACAATCAAGGGGACAATAAAATGGAGAATTTATAGCTCAAGGCCCTTCAAGATCACAATGTGTTCATGTAATAGTAAAATTTGTATCATAATCATAAAATCTTAGAAATAGTTCAATACCTTCTAAAATTTTAAAGTTATAAACGAATATATATATATATATATATTTGTTTAGTTTTAAAAAAAATCATAATAAGAACTAATTGCATAATAATCGAATTTCAATGAACAGTTACTCTTAATTCAACATATTTTCCTAATACATTCATTTTAAAATAAAGGGTAAATTATTTAAAATAAAGGGTAAATTATAACAATGATCACTTAACTATTGGTCCTTTTCATTTTGACAACTATTTTTGAAATTTTATCAATCATGTCACTCAACTATTTAAATGCATTCAACTAAGCCACTTGCCATTAATATTTAATGAAGAAGCTGACGTGACAATTAAAATATTTGATATAATTACACATTTGATTACTATTTCTTATATATTCTATCAATTTAGTCTTAGTTTTAATAAATTAAAATAAACTTAACCCTTCGACTTTGGCGGAACCCCAACATAATATAAACTATCAAATTGGAACAAAAAAAAAACTATGTTTTGAATTAAAAAGTTAAATTTAAATACCTAGTTAGAGATTAAAATGGAAATTAAGAATCACATTGAACATTAAAAATCAAAACCAAGTATCAAATTGAAACCAAAAAAACAAAAAAAAAAACACATTACTCTAATTTTATGGGTGCTTACTAACGCACCTGCATCCAACATGTAACAACCGATTTTCAAAATAATATTTAATTAAAATTTGAGGGTTTAATTGTGAAAATTTGGGACTGAATTGAAAGATTTTAAAACTTGGAGCTTGTTTTAAAGTTAAAGAAAATTCAGGGACCAAGCCCTGAATTTAACCATGGAGTGTCGGCAGACAATTGATATATGCGTGATTTCTGTTTTGAAAAACAGAAATCAATTTCCCAAATCCTCTCCCGAACGCCCAACTTCAAACCTCGATCCAGACGCCGTCCGAATTCCGATCGTTGTTTTGAAACCACCGTTGTGTTCATCATCGAGCGAGGAACAAACCCTTCAAATTAATTGAAGCGAAACGCGGCCAAACGTCGGGAATTTCCAGTCAAAGTAGCGACGGTTTTGTTAGCTCTATCGCCGAGGAAATCTTAAATTCACCGCTGATCGTGGCTCCGTTTACGACACCTCCCGCACCATCGTGTTCCTTGTGCCGTTCCGAGTTCACCGGTGTCAACCTTGTCCGCCGTAGACGGCGGCGCGTGAGGAGGTGGTGCAGTCAAAGATTCGACCGATTTGAAATCGAGCTCTCCGCCGTTCAAAAATTTGAACCGATCGTTGTAAGTATCTTGAAATCGCTCAAAATAATTTTTAGAAATTTTTCCGGGATTTTTAGGGCCCCAAAGGACGCCTCACGCGCCACAGGCGCCGCCGCAGGGCGAGTGGCTGCTGGAAACCGGTTTGACCGGTTCTGACCGGTCTGAATCGGTTTGACCGGTCTGACCCGACCCGACCGTTGACCCGACCCGACCCGACCGTTGACCCGACCCGACCCGACCGTTGACCGTTGACCGTTGACTTTCTTTGACCAAAACTTAAAATGGCTTTGACCGAGCATTAAACGACCGTTAATCTTTTCCGAGTATACCTATCCTGATAGTTTTCGACGTGCCGAATCCGTTTCCGTGGTCTGTTTTGTCAAATTCGAATCTGAAGGTCTCCAAATCTACGGTCAAAGTGGTTGACTTTGACTTTGACCAAGAATCTGAATTTTCAAAAAGTCATACTTTATGTTTTTGGACGTCCTGATTCCGATTCCGCAGTCCGTTTGGCCAAATTCAGACTCGAAATACCCCAAAATGATAGTCAAACCCGAAA